GGGATTTGGCGGAACAAGCAACAGATAAAATTGAGAACCAAAAGCTTATCGGTATCGGTAAAGTCCTCTTATACCAACTCAGTATCAACGTGGTCACCAACAACCAAACAATCCAGCGAGTCACAATCTGGTTTAATGGCAAACACATCATCAATAATAATATCTTACAATTTCATGTCAAATGGAACATGTTTTTTTTTTCGTTTAGCATATTGTAGGCTTCTCCTAAAGCCCCCAAGCACAAACTATCTTTACCATTTTAAAAATTATAGTTGCAACTCTTTACCAAAAATTCTAATATTTTAATATGTTAAACTAGACATCTCACGCTTTCCAACGACATATTTTAAGTCTCATTTGGAGTTGTATAACTCCGGTTATGTTTTTCGCAAAGTGACTACTGCAAACTGAATTTCCAGCAACAAAGACGCGACTTCAAACTGACATTGCGATCAAACCACTTATTCAATGGAAACGAAATTTTGGAAAGTTGTATCCCTATTTCTTAGCTTCACATAGGTCCAAACGACATTCAATTTGGAGCTCTATAGCTCCAGATATCGAATTTTTACTAAAATAGGTTCATTGTTGTCTATATATCCGGATATCATATCCGGATATTTCGCGACAGTGGCCAAAAACAGCTGCCAAGCACGAAATTATCCATTAAAATGCAATATTTTACCTAGATACATCTATCCCATCATCTTAGCATGCATTTTAACACTTATGTTTATCAATCAACGTTCAAGTTATCAAAACTCATAATTTTACATTTTCAAATCATGTTGTTTTTATAAAAACACTAAGGGAAGTGTTGAGGTATATACCCATGAGCTTTAAAACAAAAAAAGGAAAAGTCTTCATGGTCTACAACCCACTTACCACTGTTGCCAAGGTAAGAGCACGAAAATGGTTCTTCAAAGTTGGTTCTTTTCTCTCTCAAGGTTGGTTCTTTCTTATTCCAAGGCTTGAACACAAGTGAAGATGATGACTCAAGGTCTCAAGGATGAAAGGTGGTCACTCATAAACTCAAGACATCAAGCTTAACCCTTCAAGATGGTATTTTTCTCCTCTAACATCACTAACAACTAGTGTTTACAAGGTTAGGATGATCCAATGGTGAAGAAATGTGATAACTTTGGTTTGTTTCTTGAAGAATGATGAAATCCTAGAGGAGGAGAATATTTTCTGCCATGAAAGGAAATGGAGAGGGTGGTGTACGTAGAAGTTTGTAAACTGACTTAGGATTTAGTGCCCATTACTATTTATAGTGGCACACACTTAAACTAACAATATTAGTTTAATTAGTTTCGCTCTTCATTTAACTCCAAAATTTCATATTATTAACCTAGACATTTTTCTAGGAATTATCATATTTTTACATTAATATTTTGAGATATTTTTCCGATACGCACTTTCTACTGCGAAATAGTCGATATTAGTTCTAACATCACGTTTACGATTTTTATCTCAAATTTGATATTCTTGACCTAGATATTTTTCTAGGAATATTCGTATTTTTATTTCTATTTTTCGAGTTACTTCACAGGTATCCATTTATAATATCTGATGTTTTCACTTTCCTTCTGAAAAATGACTTAATATTAATTATCATGCTCTTTCCATATTTATCCAAAATTAATTATGAAATTATTTCTTAAATCATATTTAACTCATTAATTTCTTAATTTAGCAATGCGAGTTCTTACAGTGAACTTGACTCTTAAACATTGTTTCTAGTTTTGATAAGCACGTAATTTTTGCAATAGAGTCACTACCCACAATCACTTTTATGTGTTCTCTACACTAAGTAAACTCAGACCTTCAAGGATATCCTATAATTCTGCAACATAAACATGTTAAATCCAATGGCAGATAAGTATTATTAACACTAATAGAAAATACTAACTATTATAGATATTTTTAAAAGATAAGCTAACTATTAGTACTAATAACCTATTATTATTAAAAAATATTATATATAAAATAATTAAAAAATTAAAATTTAGGGAGAGACAGACGAGGATTGGTCGCTCCTGGTCAAATCCCTATGTTATAAACAAGAGTGAGGATATTCTAACTACCAAAAACTCTCACTACTAACTTACTACCCATTACATCACCATTGGATCAAAGAAAGAGAATGTTAAAAAAAATTTGAAGAGAGAGAAAATGTTAATCTAATGGTGATTAGATAGGTAGTAAGTTGGTAGTAGAAAATTTTGGTAGTTAGAATATCCCTATTCTATAAACAAATCCTTCAAGCCTTATTATTAAAAAATATTATTTATATATATATATATATATATATATATATATATACATCCACTAGGTTTAGCCTAGTGGTGGGGGGTGTGTGAGTTAGGTGTATGTAGTGTGAGGATGTGTGTTCAATTCTCATGTAATGAAAAAATAAAATAAAATATTATACATAAAATAATTAAAAAAATTAAAATTTAGGGAGAAGCGAGCATTGGTCCGCCCCTGGTCAAATCCCTATCTTATAAGCAAATCCTTCAAGCCATTGTCCATCGATACCTCTTACATGCTCCGGAGACCATTTGGCACAGAGGGGGAGGCTAGGGTGGGCGGCTGCCCCCCTCCCCCTCCCAAAAAAAAAATTGAATTTTTTTAATGCAATTAAAGGCTAAACGTGGTACTATTGTTACTGTTAAATGCGCTTCTTCTGGGTACTTTGGTTTGAGATCCAAGTTGAAATCTATCTCTACTTCACCTAATGTGTGTGTTATGTATAACCTTTTCTGCATTTTCTTTTTTATTTTCATATGCTATGTTTTGGTTAATGAAAGCTTTGGCCTTTTTGCCACCATTTTGCTCTCTTTTTATTTGTATGGCTGTGTTTCTCTTTGTGTAGTGGTTTCATGTAGAGAAAATGAGTTTGCTCTAACTTAAAAGATTCACTTTTTTGGGAAATTTGGTTACAGTCTTCTATTTTTCTTTTTTAAAAAAATTGTAGTTAAAAACATTGTTTTAGTTAAGGCACTCTTTTTTTTAATTATTGCTTTAAATTATTTTTTATGTTTGTTAGACCCGGGCAACAGTACACTTTTTAGTCTTTGAAATGTTGTTAAATGTTAATATTTTTGTAAGAAATTATCTAAATGAGTTCCATAAAGGTATGAAGTCAAAAGGTAAAGAAAATACTGATATTATACAAGACAAAAAATTTAATTTTCGCCCCTCCCCTTCAATTCTGGCTCCGCCACTGATTTCGCAGCACCACTGTGTTCAGGTTCATCTATTCTGGCTTTGGTGAGTGCCACTTATAATTTGGTGCAGTGGTGGACGAATGGAAAGGCTAAGGAGACAGTACCCCTACCCCTCAAGTTTATACAAATCTTTAGACGTGAACACTATTTATGCATTTTTTTGTAATATAATTAGTGATCACCCCCTCAAAACATATAAAATTCTGTTATTGGGGCACCATTTATATTTTTTTTTCATATAAATAATCATAATTTAAAAAAATATATATTATAATTCACCCCTTGAAAAAATTATCTAGCTTTGTCATCCACATATCTACTCCGGAACTAGGGGTAAATCACAAATGCTCTTGCACTGGTTTAAACCGTTTAATACATTAATATATATAAACACTATAAAATAATAATACTTCAATTAATATAATGTTTGATATTGGCTCTTTTAAGACACCAGACTTGAGTTTTTATTAAACCGAAGTTGACCTCAGTCAAACTTAATTCAGCTCGATTCATTTCGGACTTTAATTAAAGATGTTAGATTAAAATGAATAAGCAGAATAGATTATGAAATATTTAACCTTTGAAAATGTAATAAATGTATCAAATTATACAGTTAATAGATAATTTTGTCATTGTTTTATAAAACAATTATTATTATTTTGCTCTTTTTAAAATTATGTATCAATTTATTTCTTTGCTAAAATTTTGTTCTAATTTATTCATATTTGATTAAAGTTTAACCGACACTTACTCAATAAGTAACTTATCAAAAATTAAGGATGGATAAAATTTTAGTAAAAAATTATTACATAATTTAAAGAAAGAAAAACTAATATATAATTTTTAAAAATAAAAAATAAAATAATAAAATAATAAATAAGAGGAAAATAATCCATCAAAATTAAAATATCGATTCCTAATGTACCAAAAAAAAAAAAAATATCGATTCCTAGTCACACACCTCAAGAGTGAAGGATCACAATCATAAAAGATTAGTCTCACACTTATATTCAGTGTTAATAAAACCAGATGGACCGACTGGGTCGACCCAAAAATCGATAAATCGGTTATATAACCAGTTCAATTGAAATAATGGACCGATCATGCATCAGAATCGGTGCGACCCGGTTCGATTCGGCCGATTTTCATGAAAACCGGTGACCCGATCGGTTAACCGGAGATCCGGTCCGGTCTTAAAAAAAAGAATTCCAAATTTGTGTTTTTAAAAAAAGAAAATCATAATGGACATTTGAATATTTTTTTGTTTATTATTGACTTACATAAGTTATGTACCTACAACACCATATTATTTTAATTATGCACTATGCAGAAAATTTTGATTTGATTTATAGTTAAAGATGTCATTTTCTGAACCTAAAACCTCGTATCACGATTATTATATTTTTGTTTGATCATTTTATTAGATAATAATATGTTATTTATTATTTTTTATATTAAAATATTTGAAATATTTATCATTTTTTTGGATATTTGAATATGTTTATAATTTTTTAATATAAATTATAAAATTGCATATAATAACCAGATCATGCAGGAGACACATTGACTAGTACCTCGACCGGGACAATGACCGGGCCGGTTTTAATAACATTGTTTATATTTGTTTTGTTTTAAAATAACTTTTAATCATACACTCGGACGAGTGAACTCATCCGAGTCGACTCAACTCAGCTCTAACACACTGGGTGACTCACTCACAAATCACAATATAGAAATCAATCGAAGCAAGTACACATACTTTTTGTGTCCTGCTAAAGACAGATCTCAGATTCTCTACGCTAACAGGGAGAGATGGCAACGGCGTCGTCTTCAAGCGAGGAAGCATTGAAGAGGAAGAAGAAGAAGCAGGGTTTGGGTTGGATAGAGTGGTTGAGAGGTTGGTTCCACTTGATCTACGAAATGCTTTTCCAACGAATCATGGCAAGCCATTTGCACAATCCCATGCCACTACCACCTCTCAATGATCTCACTTGCATTGTTACCGGATCCACCAGTGGCATTGGCCTTGAAATCGCCAGGTTTCATTCATTTTTTATTTTTATTTTTTTTTAATATTCGTTAAAAACAATGTTAATAAATAATGGGTTTTTTGTTTCCAAAAGAAAAAAATAATGGGTTTTCATTTTTGAACAAAAAAAGTTTTACTTTTGGAACTGGGGTTGGTGTTTGTTGTGTGATTATGGAAAAAGGGACAATTTTGAGAAGTGGGTGTGTGTTGTTTATGTGGTTATTATTGTAGTTTGTTGGAAAGGAGGGACCTTTGTAGTTCTTTTTATTAAATGGGTCATAAATGATATATATTGTTTTGGTTACTGTGTTTAGCTCACTTGCAACTCAAGGTAGTCAAAGTCATGTGAGTTTGGGAATATATTTAATTTAAGTTCTGGAGTTTGACTCTGTCAACTTTTTTTTGTTTAGAAAAAAAAATGGAGTTGTTGATAATTTGGGGGATTTTTTGGTTCTTCACATGATGCAGGCAATTGGCACAATCTGGGGCCCATGTTGTTATGGCCGTGAGGAATACAAAGGCGGCTCAGGAGTTGATCCAGAAATGGCAGAATGAATCTGCAGGACTGGGTATTGCTCTCAATGTTGAGGTAACATATATGTTCACTACTCTGGAAACTTTTGTATGTTGATCTGTGTGCTTGGATTAGCTAATTTTATTTTTAGGAAATGCTCAAAAGAGACTGCTGGTTTTTGAATAGCTTTTTTGAGTGTAAGTAAGCTTAATTCAAACATCTTTGTCAGGATTACTTCTGGTCATTGACATTTCCTTCTGGTTTGTCAAGGTGATGGTAGTTGATCTTCTCTCATTGGATTCTGTGGCGAGGTTTGCTGAAGCATGGAATGCACGCTCAGCACCCTTGCATGTTCTCATTAATAATGCTGGAATTTTCTCCATTGGTGGTTGGTATTTTTGATGAAGATTGCTGCTGAATTTTGGCCTTTCTTGGTTGTATCTGTTTATGATTTGAGTACATAATGATATTTTTTTGGGATCACATATTGAAGTATACTTAACTTTTATCATTTTTTGTTGTGACAAAATTATTGGGGTTACAGTAGTGATAGATACTTCCAGATTGGTTTAGTGTAACTAATCCACTCACCTGTTATTCTTCTTATTCAGAGCCACAAAAGTTTTCGAAAGATGGTTATGAACAACACTTGCAAGTGAATCATCTCGCTCCTGCTTTGCTTTCGATACTTCTTTTGCCATCGCTTATGAGGGGTTCTCCTAGTCGAATTGTTAATTTGAATTCCGTTGTAAGTCTCTTGCTCTTTGAACACTAATATATGTACATAGAATGCGATCTGACACATCAAAGTTTATTCTTATTTATTTTTCAGTCAACTTATTGCTTTTTATTTATGTACTATACTACCATTTATGATAACTTTTTTACTTTTGATAGATGGTTTGTTTGATTGATTCAACTTTTATTGCTTATTGGTTCTTAATGCCTGGATCTTATGAAAATATAGTCAATAATGTGCATATCTTCTCATTTGTTTTGTCATTAAGAATTTGGAAACTTTTGACTGTTGTTACACATTGCTATCTAAGGCAAATCAGTTTGTAATTTTCTCTGTTGCTAGTACTGGAATATGTACAATCTTTTGCATCAAATTTGATTATTTAATGCTTTGAGTTACTTTGTTTTCTTTTGCTTATTCAGAAAATTAATGTCGTAAGTTAAATTCTTCTTTGTGGTGCATTGTCAACTTCTGTTGGACAATTTAATTAGCAAGAAACAACTATATCATCATCATCTTTCTCTAATATTTCCTGTTATTCAGTTCATAATTGTATGAACCTTTCTTTAGTTGAAAAAATACAATGATGTTTCTGTGAACACATTAAATTTCAAGAATCTGAAGTTAAAAACTTATTTATTTGTCTTATTAATGATTCTTGCTTGATTAAATACTTATGTACTTGAAATACTGACTTGAAATTTTGAAATAATTTTGAACAAATGGAAAGGATTATACAACATGAAACTGGCTGATAAAATAATTAATAGAACATCAAAGTAAAGTCTGTAAGAAGTTCCTGAAAAAATAAGAATTTATACAGAACCTTATTTTTCTATGAAAGAATAAATTCTTTAAGGAAAAGAGAAATAAAGTCAAATGCTTCATTAACTGGTGTATACCACGGTTTTAAAAGTCAGATGCTTTATAAAGAGGAAACATGTTAAACAAGTTACTAGTGTAAGTAATAAAGCCCGTGGATTGATGTTTGGCTGGTATTTATCTGTAATATTATTACTTTCATTCAACTTTCTATGATTTTTTATGCTGTTGAATGTTGATTGACTTTATTGCTGTCTTTATAGTGAAGTAATTATTCCTGGAAAATTGAAAATGTTATTTATAGTGATAAACTACTAGCTCTATCATTATTTTTTAACCTCTCTTACCCTCGTAAAACTTAAAGTGCTTTATCTTTTCTTTGCACCCTTTTTCTGTAGATGCATCATATTGGCTTTGTTGACGCTGAAGACATGAATGTCACATCTGGAAAAAGAAAATTTTCTAGTATGGTGGGGTACTCAAGCAGCAAGTTGGCACAGGTACACTTCCCTTTTAAAGTTTTGACAATTTGATGGCCTGAAAGCCTTTTTACGAATAAGTTTTTTGATCAAATGAGGTTTTATGTCTAGTTATTTATTTCTTCTGTTAAAATCATATACGCTTAACTGGTTCTGCATAATTCCACTGATAAGGTCTTGCCACAAATAAAATGTATTTTTCTGTATAAGTGCTCTGTCACTCTAACCACTTAATTATTACTAATTTTGATGATTGATATAATTATGTCATCAAATGATTGATATTTTCTTTCGTTTAAAAAGTATAGTGTACACTAATTTAGGATAACAGAGTATAAAACAATTATGGATTGATAAGTAATTTTGTTACATGGGATATGCATGACAAAACATTCACTCCAATGGTGTATTTTGACAAATTAATCCAACAAAAGGTTAGAGTGACAGATTATGTTTACCTTCCATCTTGAAGTTGTAAATGAAACTAGAGCTGGCATTTCTATTGCAGATTATGTTTAGTAGTGTTCTTCATAAGCGACTCCCTGCTGAAGCTGGCATCGGTGTATTGTGCGTATCACCTGGAATTGTCCAGACCAATGTTGTAAGTCCTTCAAAAAATTTGAACTTCTGTCTCCAGATGGAACATGTACAACTATAATTTTAACCTTTTTATATCTATTCTTTTGTTTTAATAAATTCGTGACAAATCGATATAAATTATGCCAAAGAACAAATTTTTGATCTAATTATTCTTTTACAATAGTGCAACAGAAAACCTTCAGAAGTTATCTTTTGCATCAGAATATTTGCCCTGCAATTTTCTTATGCCCCTTAACTGTATCTGTGTCTGTGTCAACCTTAATGCCATAACAATATATATGGGTGGAGGGAGAACATTGTATTTTTTGGTATATACTTTTATACCATAAGTAGTACAACATAACCAGAGAATTTTGCAAGATCCTAGGAATCTTAATTTTTCTTCAACATGAAATCATACCGAGATACTGGATTTAAAATTTATAAATTGGACTAGCACAAGTTGAGATGCCTTCAAGAATTCGATCTTTAAAGTCCAAAATTTCTATACCTCAGTTGGAATCTAGAAGTAATACAGGGAAACTCAGATTAATTTTTAACTTTGATTTTAATTTGATACTTAGCTCCCTTAATGTTTGTTTTAAATATTTGAAATGTAATTGACTTTTTAACTGGGGTAATTATATATAAATATCTTAACAATGCCGGCTTTTTGACCGTTTTATCCCTTATTAATTAAAAAATAACCACTTTGTCCCTATTTTAAAATTATACACCAAATTATCCCTGTTTAATCGATTAATTAACACACTTAATCGATTAAGTACGGAAAAAAATACTTAATCGATTATAAACTTCTTTTAATCGATTAAATTGCGGTTCCAAAGAAAAAGTGCCACAACAAAAAAAGCAAAAGAGCACAAAAATAAATACAATCTGCCTCCATCCCCACCAAAGCTACCAATCATTGGAAATCTTCATCAACTAGGCACACTCCCACACCGCTCCTTTCAAGCACTCTCTCAAACGTATGGCCCTCTCATGTTGATGCAGCTTGGACAAACAAAAACTCTTATGGTTTCATCAGCGGATATTGCCAGAGAAATAATAAAAACACAGACTTTTCATTTGTTCCAATATGATGGCTGGTACAGAATGAGAAAGAACATTCATAAAACTTAACAGAAAAAGAAAAAGAAAAAGAACACAAACTTTCCTTTACTAGCCAAACATGTTGAATCACCTGTGACAGAAAACTCTTTGGTTGTGCCTCTTGATTGTGAATGGACTTGGCACTGTCATAGGGTTTAATCCTTTTTAGGAGAAAATACAGATGGCAAAACGCTTCATCAAAGACACTGCCACAACCACCTCACGTGGCTCTTTTGCTCTTCGCTACCTTAAGGCCTAAACCGATTACAATATTTTTTGCTCTTTTGCTCTGTTGTTGTGGCACTTTTTCTAAGGAATCGCCGTTTAATCGATTAAAAGAAGTTTATAATCGATTAAGTTTTTTTTTCCATACTTAATCGATTAACTGTGTTAAGTAATCGACTAACCAGGGATAATTTAGTATATAATTTTGAAACATGGATAATTTGGTGTATAGTTTTGAAACAGGGACAAAGTGGTTATTTTTTAATTAATAAGGGATAAAGGGGTTAAAAAGCCTAACAATGCCTGTAATGATTAGTTTGCATTAGATTAATTTTGAGCTTGTACTGATAGATGCTTTTGTGATGATTATTAATCCATCGCTAAAGTTGAGCTTTAATGTAAATAGTAGTCTGGTAGGACTAATATTTGAAATGTATATGCTTGACAAAAGTAGATGAATGGGAATTAACTGGGGATGCTGATATTTCTGCAACGGAACTTTTGCTTCTTCGGAAGAATGATCAATAGTGTCAATTAGATAGAAGAGAATATGAAACTTAAGGTTGGTTAAATAAAACTCTTGAGATGTATCTAAAACAGTATACTATTAAATACCTCTGAGGGTAAATGGTAAATTTTTTAGGTCATCTTATCGTGTCTATTGTTTTAAAATGCTAAGCTGCTAAGGGCCTGCTTGTTTTATATTTTTGGGGGATTTAGAATCCTGTCTGGCCCTCTAGGAATTGATCATAAAATAATTTCATCCTGTTTGGATAATTTCATTGCTATAATTTCTGGTCATAACTCATAATTTGTGATTATAATAGTTTGACTCCAAATCTCTGGAGTGATAGTTATTTAATTTCATAATTTTGTTGTTGTATAATGGGATATCTTTGGTCATTGATTTGTTGGTTTTTGCTGCATTTTTTACAAGTTTCTGCTTTGCTTATACTTTCAACTTTATCTAATGCAGGCAAGGGATCTTCCTAAAATTGTTCAAGCTGGGTATCATTTGATACCTTACTTTATCTTTAATGCTCAAGAAGGTTTGTTTAATGAATGTTTTCATGTTTGAAGTACTTTACAATCGTTAGTTTTTAATACACTGCAAAATATGGATTTTAGTTTGGGTAATATATTACTACGACATGATCCATCGGTCCTAGTTATGGAATGTTGTGAAAGTGTAGAAAATGTTGAGTACTGACCATGAAGATACATCACTTATACTACAATGCAGGTGCTAGGAGCGCTCTTTTTGCTGCTACTGATCCTCAAGTTTCAGAGTATTGTGAATTGTTGAAAGCAGATGAGTGGCCTGTTTGCGCCTTTATTTCACAAGATTGTCGTCCAACAAATCCATCAGAAGAAGCACATGACATTCAAACATCATATGAAGTATGGGAGAAGACATTAGAGATGATTGGCCTTCCTTCAGATGCTGTGGAGAGGCTTATAGAGGGAGAAGAAGTTAAATGTCGTTATGGTCAAGAACACTAGTCTAATTTACAATGATGGCCGCATAACACTTTATTAGCAGAAAGTGTCACCACAAGCTCCCCCTTAATCATGTGTAAGGGCACTTTCATTATTTATAATTGAGTAAACTTTAGGAGAAGAACCCTTTTATATTTTTTGGGCTAGATTAATATACCTATAGACAGCTTTTCTACTATCATATGTGCTTTTGTAGCGAAAGTTTCCATATCCAAAAAGTTTATGTACATCCATTTTGATCATATTTTTGTACTCAACTGCCACCTGTTCCTAGTGGGAGAATCTGGTCATAAACGTGTGTTCTGACCACAAAGTTTTGAGGGTTGCTGACATTTAATTAATTACCTCTAGGTGGAACTTGCACTTATATGCTAATTTTTGCTTCTTGACGTAATTTTCAAGGATTTTGTCACCCTTCTTGCTTTCAATTTTTGTTGTTGTTGTAGTAGTATAATTCAGTCTTCGTAGCATTGATGAAATGCTTATTTTTTTTAAAATAAAAATATACAAAGTCTATGGTAATATAAAATGATTTGTCGCAATTCTATGTTACTCTCAATTGCACCAATATAACCGAATGAAAACGTCTTTGATTATTCAAGCCAGAGGAACAACTAAGGAATTACATTGATGTCGAGCTTCTGCCCATTTTCACAGTGATCATTTATTCCACATATGAACCATGCTCTGCCTTCCTTTAAAATTACTGAGTCATTGCCACTACTGAAACGCCGTATATACGAGTCCTTTATGCAATTCTCATAACCTGTATAATCCACTTGCAGTACATTGTGTAGGCCCCTTTCATAGTTGAACACTATCAACAAAAGTATGAACAAGTTTATGTAGTTTGTTCAATATAATTCAGTGTCCCAGTGAAAATTATAAACTGTTCTGCATATAATATATTCAATGCAATGAATTATGCAAACATGTACCATTTTGGTTTATATATGATGCCAATATGTGTTAATCTACATTTGTTCTTTGATTCAGTTCTTTTGTAAAAATTAATTTGTATTAACTTGATTTTATAAAAACTTAATTTTGCTAACGAGTTTGCCATAGGGTGATTCATATTGATTTGATAGATTTAAATAAAAATTACTTTAGATGTGTAATTAAAAAAATATTTTTTTTTAAAATATGTACTTAAAAAGTGGATTTCTATTCAATTAATGAAGTGATATTTTGCAACCAAAATCATGTTTGCCTTAAAACAAGTCTTTCCATGGTTCAGATGCATAACCAAACACATTATATTTATGAATGTGAAGTACTCTTACCTAGTACATCACCAACGTGGAATTCTATTCCATCTGGCCAGTTGTTGAAATCATAGAGGTCATCCCAACCATAGCCGTCACCAACAATGAAGATTTCTCCCTTTGCATAGAGCAAGTAAATGCAAGCCGAGAGGCAAAGGTAGAACATGATTATACTGGAAAATTGGCAAGTTTGAAGACCCATTTATTATTATTTTTTTGTCTATTTCCCTTGCTTTCAATCTGAAGAGACTGCAATATGGCTAATAACCATAGAATAAGAAACGTTTGTAAGAGAATAAATAACAGAAGTTGGAGGCTCACAACATCCTAATGTCATAAGATTAGGTAGTCACATATATCGTCTTAACCTCTATTGTCTATCATGACAATTAGCATAAATTAAGAATATATCTCAAAATAGGAGAATTCAACACAATAAGACATAAAAGAAGAATTAAACGAATTGACTAGATTGACTAGACCTATATTGAAAATTTATCAACTATTTGTTAATTAGGTTAACGGTTGAAAAAAAATTAAAAAATCAATCATTTATTTCTCTTAGATTGACTAGACCTATATTGATCTCACCATTTGCGCATCATTTATAGTAAGAGCTTTCTCACATCATTAAGAGTATATCTCAAAATAGGAGAATTCAACACAATAAGACATAAAAGAAGAATTAAACGAATTGATCTTGATATTTATAATGAAATTCTTTAAAGCTTTTCATATTATATTATGTTTTATTGTGAATATTTTTATTTTTATTATAATTTTATATTAAATTTAAATTATATATTTTTATTTAAATTCTGAATTTTAATATATATAGTAAAATCGTTTCTGCAGCCGCTTTACGTACAACAGCGACCGGTGTATGGTTATGATTCTCCACATTTAATGCTTTGCTTTTATCCTTTGTATGGATATGATTCCCCGCATTTAATGTTTTCAAATATATATATATATATAGCAAATATTTGATTGCTACGCGTACAGCTTGCAGAAATGTAAATCCTATATATATATATAGAGGTAGGATCCTTTGACACACCGGTATCAAATTTGAAATTTGACACCTCATCTGAGAGTCGTTCGATCAAAAAAGATCAATAGTGTTACATGCTTACAAATCAGAGTCGTTGATCTTTTCTGATCTAACGGCTCATAAATGAGGTGTCAAAGGATCCTACCTCATATATATATATATATGGGGCAGGATATTCTTACACCGGTGTAAGAGTTAAAAGTCTTACACTCAATCTTGACCATTGATCCACTTGTATCAAATGGCTCACATTAATAAAAAATTAGAGCCTTGAGATATAAGTGGAATCAACGGACAAGATTAAAAGTTTAACTTACACTGGTGTAAAATGATCCTAACCCTATATATATATATATATATATATATATATATATATATATATATATATATATATATATATATATATATATATATATATATATATATGAGATAGGATCATTTGACACTGGTGTCAAATTTTAATTTTGACACCTCATCTGAGAGCCGTTAGATAAAAAAAAATCAACGATTCTGATTTGCAAGCATGTGACACCTTTGATTTTTTTTAATCTAACGGCTCTCAGATGAGGTGTCAAAATTAAAATTTGACACCGGTGTCAAAGGATCCTACCTCTATATATATAAAATTTAAGTTCCTCACAAAATATGTTGCGCCAGTTCACACACCAGAAGCAATGCGAATAAAATTGAACAAAAATATGAATAATCAATAAACGAAAACTAAAACTTCATCATTTAACCAGCAAGGAGATTACCTAATAGAATCAGTATTTGGGTAAAAAAAGAGAGTACAAATTTATAATTTTTGCACAGGGCATACACAATTATATTTTTGAAGCTAGGAAGAAAAAACATTAGACGAATGATAGAAGTACAAAAGGATTTGCTTGGAGCATTAAAAGGATAATCAAAAAAGGTTTATGTTATTCAGTTATGGATTTAAGAATACTCGAGTGGATAAAATATTACTGGGAGAGTTACCTTACCTTTAATACATAGATCCGATAGTCTCTATCCTGACATGGATATTAAAACAAAAAAATATCTGAGTAATGTTTTTAGTCAAACGTTGACAAGTCAAAGTATGTTTACCAAATTTTAAATGACAATTTGATAGATTTAATGATAAAAAAATCACAAGCGAGGTAAAAAGAGAAAGAGAAAAGTAACGAGGTAAAAGATTATTACAAATGAAAATATTGATTATGGTGAAAACTGATATTTTGTTGGAAAATGAAGCCTCAAAACAAGGTATATAGCCACTTCAAATTTCAAACCCTGCAATTGACCTGAAAATGTTTTAGGTGGTGTTTGGTTGGGAGTTTTTTAAGGGATATCTATCTTTTTCAAGTATGACTTTTAGAAACACCATGTTTGTTTCAACATTTTTCACCAAAAATCCATCTATCCAATTTGTCTGGATTTATGAGAAACATAGATATCCGCACTGTTTAGAAACTCAATTTGAAAGTAAAATTTTTCGAAAAACCGGTTATCTGGCTTTTAATGAACTGTTAATTTCATAAAGTTACCTAATTTTTCCAGTAAAATTTTTCCTCACCAAACAACTTTTTTTTACATTTTTCTACCTATCTCACTTTATCTATCTTTCCAATCATTTCTCTATCTATCTGATTTTCCTACTATTCCAAAAAAATTTACTCAACCAAACGCCCCCCCTGAGGATTTTCTATCCAACTCAATTCAGTAACTCAATTCAACCGTGCATTTTGCTTCCTCTTTGGAAACACAGATTCCAATCTTTTTAAATTCTAAGGTACTTCGAATATAAATAAATGCAAAAAATGCTTACAGAATTGTTGATGATGGATCTCCTACCTTTGTCAACTAGTCTTTAACATAATAAAAATAGCAGAATTGATAAGTTAAGATAGTAGAGGCATAAGTATTGACCCACTCTAGCTTTACAAGATGATGATGTAAACTAATCTACAAATAGTTAATCAAGGTTTAGCTAGAAGTGTGCCCTGCATTCTATGTCAAAGGCCTCATATTGGAGAATGTACACCATAGCTTATAGTGAGTAATCAAGAAACCTCTTACTACCTTAAAAGAGCCAAAAAGTATGTATAAACTTTAACAGAACTTATGTGAACACAAGAACTATAAGCCATCATCATTCTTCAAGCACAGGTTGGATTAGTCCCACACAATAACAAGTCAATGTTCTTCAGATTTTTCCAAAAACTGGGACCTTTCTTCCGATCAGTTTTCTTCCCAGAAGTGCCATCTTTCCACTTGAACCTTCTATGCTTCTCCACATGAACATCCAAAGCTATCCCATCATCACTGTTTTTCCCTTTGTTTCCCATGCAGCTATCATCCTCTTGGTTATCTCTTCCAAGAAGCTTCTCATAATACTCTTTGTTCCTCTTCTCCAACCCATGTATCTGTGCCTGCAGATCTTCAATTTTTTTATGGAGCATATACACTGTATGATCCTCTCTCATCTTCAGCACACACTTTGCTAGCTCCCCAGCCTTCCTCTTAATGAACAATGACTCAGATGCAAGCTCTTTGTTCTCTTCGACTAAAGTGTTGACTCTATAACCCAAGCTAGCATTCTCATTCAACAGAACAAGCCTCTCAGACTCCAACACCTCAAGCAAGCTCTTTTGGAGCTCACTTTTCCTTGAAGACTCACAATACTTCCTCTCCATGACACCAACCTCTTGCATTAACACATCATACTCAACATTCCTAATCACAAGCTCAGCAACAATAGCATCAACATCAAGCATTGAGCTCCTACGGAGTAGCATAGACATCATCATAGATGGGGGTTGTTGGTAAGAGATTGAACTCTCAATATCTGAATCAACCTGGCTCACCCCACTAGTTTCTTCCTGGTCAGAGAAACCCTCTTCTACAGTTGAAACTTGAGAAGAGTGTCTGCTATGGTGCTTGTGCTTAGCCAATGTTTGGATGTAACGGTCAGACAAAGTGATATAGCCATTGTAAAGGTCCTGAAGAAGTGACAATAACTGAGGTCTCTGTTGGTAGTAAGACTCGGCTCTTTCTGCAAAAGTGTCACCCAACTCTTCATCTTCTGTTGTGCCTATTGTCAACACCTTCATCCTCTCCTCCAAGTCTGCCATCAAAAGACCAAGTTCACATTAGAGTTAACTATGCAAGACAAGGAACACAGAGAATAATGCTTTTACTTACCTGATTTACTCAATTCCATGGCTTCAGAACATTAAAAGGTCACAACTTATAACAAGATTACCATTGAGAAGCACTAAAAAGGAGGTTAATTTATAGACCAGATCTCAACTGGGTTGATGAGTAATTGAGAAATGACAGGCTACCCAACAATGAAACAATAAAAGGGTACACTGACAAACCCCATAAATAATTCTGGTACACAAGAAATAATGTTAATAAAAAAACAAAACAAAAAATAGTGTAGGACTAATTTTCAAAAAAAAAAATTTGAATTTCGGGTAGGCATTAGGGCATGGCACTCTAGTGTCTACAGCTACATCTGCCTCCAGTTTTGAATGCAAAGGTCAACATCATGTACTGCACCCTGAGCATGTGCACTGTAGACATTAAAGGTCTTTATCTTCCTCCAACTTTCAATTTTTTAGAATAAAACCAAAAAAGTTTAAGAGAATATGTGGCACAGGCCACAAGGCTAAAATGGAAAGGTCACCCTAATGGATGACACCAAAATCTAATGTCTAATGCAACAAGGCAGAGTGATCTGGATAGGCCCCATTACATTTACGTGTCCAATTGACCAATACTAGATTCAAATTTTAAACACAAAAAAACGAGTGTCCAAAAAGATTTGCAACGGCCAAACAAAAGAACATAGGGTATGAGAAAAAGACAATGGATCTAGAGCCAGAACAAAGACAATGGGTTTGGAAATCTGCTTCAAATCAAAATTGGAAATTTGAAACAGACACACCCCAAAAGGTATAGTATACCTGCCAATAGCTACCTATGGAAAAATCCCATCTACACGTAATAGCAACTTTTTCTAAAGTTTTTCTTCTCCACAATAAAAGAACTCCCATTAGGGAATTGCAAAAAAACAATGGAATAAAACCATAATATAATAATGGAAAAATCTACTCAGTGACAAAAAAAATTTCTGTAGTGTCACTTTTTTCTTTTTATTTTTAGATAATGAAATCTACAAATTTATTTCTATAATATGAAATAATTTATTTTCTTCCGAGAAGAATAAAACCTTATAATAACATAATATAAATAATTCTTCTCTAGTTTGAGTAGTTTCTACTACCCTTTATTTTTAAATTCACTCACTTATTAAGCGCGTGTACAAAGCGCGTGAGCTAAGTGCTGCTTGGTGAAAATGTGACATTGTAAATAACGATGTACGGCGTTTGGTGTTTCCAATGAAAACTTGGACGTTTGACAGTTGACAGGGACATATCTGTATGGGTGATTATATTAGATTCTTCTTCATCCCTTCCTTCCATTGATGATTGCTTGAAAAGGGTTGCTACTAATCAACACAGCTAGCATGTGATCCCATTAAATTCAGATTTCTTCACCTTCCTTCTCTCATTTATTGTGAATAGTAGATTTCAATTTAATTTCCCCTTCAGGTCATTAAAGATTTTTCTTTCCTAACCAAAAAAAAAAGGAATTTTTCTTTCAATTATTTATTAAATATCATCAACATTAATATTAACAATAAACCTATTTTCCTTTAGGACCTCTTACAACCAATATCTTAACCCTTGATTTCCGTCAATCAAAGGTTACAATTTATTGTGAATTAATAATTATTTAATAAATTTTATTTACAAAAATCTTAACCGTTATTTGACAGAAATCAACAGTTAAGATATTGGTCGTAATAAATTGTAAAAGAAAATAAGTTCTAAGTATAACCTTCCCCGTAGTATAAATATAAAAATAATAAAAGAAGGTAAGGAGAAGATGAAAAAGAAAAAGACTAAAAAAAGATTATCTAAAACATAGAATAATAACGAATTTAATTCTCAACCATACATATTTATTAAATATAATATAATGATAAAATTTAAAGGAGACAAAAATGATTGGATTGAAATTTACAAATTCATTAAATAACTTTAATATTATAATTATATATTCTAACGAATACATAATTATAATACTACCGTGCCACCGTGATTTTGAAGATTTGTTCTTAATATAGGTATATAAGAAAAAAAAAAAATTGAAGCTAATATGTTGGCAGGTTAAAAGTGAGCGGAAGAAATTATCCGCTTTCGCACATCTAATTGAACTATTCAAATATCTTACCCTTGACAACACTACAATCTCATTCATCACAAACAAAACCCAAAAGATATGACTCATACGCAGTAAAATGAAGTATTATTTGGTTGAAAGCAAAATTAGTTTGGTACGGTAGGATGAATTTAATACATACCAGAAATGCTATTGAAGAGCCAAGAGGACATGTTGTTGTTGGTGTTGCTCTTGTCCTTGAACCCTTTTGTGGAAGAGGAAAACAATGGAGAATTTGATATCCCTTTCTCTTTGCCCATATCCACAAGGTTTGGGTCCCTCCGCATTAATATCCTTGCCTCTATGTCCCTCTATACATTGCAATATTAATAGATGAGGATCAACAACAACTACTCAATCTATAAGGGAAGCAAAAAAGAACTATTGCTAGGAATAGAGGACCCTTTGCATTTAAGAAGAATGGAACGTGTAGTAGAAGAAGAAAAAAACAATAGCAAAAAAAAATTATGTAGAAGACAATAAAGAAACATAAACACAAAAACAGCGCAGATCTCCATAGACATTGCAGTGCAACTAATAAAGTAACTCATAAAATCGCATTAAACAGAGCCACATTGTTTAAAAATTGAAAACTGGTGCAGTCTGAACATTCAGAATATAACCCATAAACCCAAATCCCAAGGCATTTTAAACCTGTGTATTCTGAAATTCAAAAGGAAAATTCCTTTTTTTTTCTTTTCAAATTAGGTGGTTAACCCGGGAATCAATGAAAACCATGTGAAAGGATGACAAAGAACACCAATCTGAACTCTAAGGAATCAACAACAGGAAAATAATAAGAGAACCCAGAATCAAAAATTGTTCTTTGTATATTCTGCATGTTTGGCAACCGAGAAAACATAGGAAAAGCTATAGAAAGTTGAAAACTTTTTAACATCAGTCCAATATATTTGAAAAACCAGACATACCCATTAATTATCAGATACAGTGTAAAACAATGCAACAAACAGCAGATTATAAAACACTCAAAAATTATAGTCCATAGTATCCACAAAAACAGAGTACTCTGCTATTTTCTTAGCAACAACGGCCATAAAAAATGGGAAATTCAAAAAAAAAAAAAAGAGGAGAAGAATCCAACAGTAAAAGAATTAAACAAATGGAGTGAAAAAATAGAAGAAGAAACTCACCTTAAGGAGCGAAGGAAGTGAAACGAGAGAAAGAAGAGGTGAAAAACCGGGTTGATTGATAACAACAAGCAGAGAGGGATGAAGTTTGAAAGAGAAAAGGTTATGTGAATTGTGAGGAAGAGTTAAAAAATAAAAAAGAAAGAAACATGGTAAAAGGGTGGTACCATATGACTAGGACTCTTCAGTGTCACAGTGCTACATGCACCAACAATAGTCAAAAGCAATCACTCAAAATCCGGAGGACACGGTCACACACGTTAACAATATTAACAAAAAGGAAAAAAAAAATATTTATCTTAAATTTATTTGGGAAAAAATATATATTTACAATTTGTTTTTTATAATTACTTTTATGATTGATTGATCAAAATTAAATCAAATCCTCTTATTTAACATTATTTGGTAAAATCATTCTGAAATTATTTTTTTTTTAATTTTTGTTCTCGAGAACAGAAATGGACAGAAAATTTGTTTGGTAAAATCGGTTTATTTTTTTGTTTTCGGGATAAACTGATTTAACTTTTGTGCAGGAGAATAGAAAAAAGAATAATTTTTTTTTTGTTTTTTTATTCCCGGGCACAAAATGAGAAACACTTATTTCTCTCAATCACTCTTCACAACTATCATCATCATAACCACTACCATCATCCCAACAGACCACCGCCACCATTTCGTCGCTATCATTGTACCACCAATGTCGTCGTCACCACTACCAACACCACCACCACCACGACGGTGCCATTGCCACCACCTCAACCCATCGCCACCATCACCACGACGAAGTCATCACCACCACCACCATCATCGCAGCTACTGCTGTCACCACCATCATCGCCACCATCACCACCACGATGCCACCACTTCCACCACCGTCACCAACCACTACTATCATTGCCGCAGCCACTGCCATCACAACCACCACTACGACGATGCCATCGCCACCACTTCCACCCCTCGCCATCATCACAAACCACCACCATCATCGCAGCCACTGTTGTTACCACCACCACCATTGCAATCATCACCACCACGCCACCACTTCCACCACTGTCACCAACCACCACTACCATCGCCGTAGCCACTGCCATCACCACCACCGTCACCAACCACCATCACCATCGTCGCAGTCATTGTCGTCACCACCACCACCATACAATCACCAACACCACCACCACTGTCACGCCACCACTACCACCACCAACATTGCCACCATTACCACCACCATCGCCGCAGCCACTGCCGTCACTACCACCACCACCACCACCACCATTGTCGCCGCCACCACGCCGCTGTCGCCACCACCACCACACCGTATGGAAAGGAAAATGATGATACAAAAAAAATTATGCTTGATAAGAATTATTTTTTATTATATTATTTATTGTATTATCAAACACAATTCTCATTCTTATAATGAAAATAAAACATATTATCAAACACATTTTTTTCTCAGAAAATGTTCCAAGGCACAGAAATAGAAAAGAATTGTTTCTTTTCAGAAATAGTGCCAGGGAACAGAATGGTTGTCATGCACACCCTCTGTATCTCGGGCATCTACATTGTAAATTTTTTGTTGGAGCTAAACTATGGTAATTATACTTTTTGTTGTATTATATTGAAAATTAAATTATTGTTTACTGATACTTCTGGATTGCATAATAATCAGTGGCGGAGCCGGGCTCAAATTGGAGGTCGGGCGAAAAAATTATATGTATATTTATTTTTCTTAATTTTAGTTAGTTCATATCATAATATACTTAAATTATGTTAAATACAGAATATTTGAGCAAGCAGCACTAAGAAAAGTTATAATTTTATTAAATATTTTTTAATTTTACTAAAAATAATTTATTTATTTTTATACAAGTGAAAATTAGACACATAACCTAATACAACTTACCCAAATCTTTCACCAAAAATATTTTAAATTTTACATAGGGCCAAATTACAAATTGTAGCCCGGGTCAAATTACAATTTTAATCCGGGCCAAATTATAATTAATTATATAATTATATATAATAAATACAATTTGTTAAAATTTAGCCCAGGCCGAGGCCACACCCACAATACATGTGACTCCGCCACTGATAATAATTGTCATACAAACTTCACAAAGCCAATACATATAAAAGATATATTATTTGCACAATAATCATCATACAAATTTTAGGCTTTTCAAAAAATCGAAAACCGATCCAATCCAAACTGAATAAAATTGTATTGGATTGGATCGCATTTAAAAAAAAAATTCAAACCGAATGGAAAAACTATTATTATTAGGGAAAAACTATTCTCACATTGTTGAAAGTAACTCTCTTTTCTATACACCCATCGATTTCCGTATATCTTAATTTTTATTTTTTTTATGTAAGTGAGACTCACCCATAATTATATCTATAGTAAAAGAGAACTAATCTCCCATCACTGCTCCCCCGCACTCCGGATTAGTCACATAGCCGGCTCAAAGAGTCGAAGCTCGTGGGGATACCGGAGGGAGCCAACTCGCCTCAAAGAGGTAATTAGGGTTGGGTAACTCCAAAAAAGAGAACTAATCTCCCACAACATGAGATCAATAAGCCCCCTCCCCAAGAATGCATTCAGCAGGACATATGTTCGATTCCTGCTGAATGCATTCTTGGGGAGGGGGCTGAACCTTTAGCCATCACTGCTCCCCCGCACTCCGGATTAGTCACATAGCCGGCTCAAAGAGTCGAAGCTCGTGGGGATACCGGAGGGAGCCAACTCGCCTCAAAGAGGTAATTAGGGTTGGGTAACTCCAAAAAAGAGAACTAATCTCCCACGACATGAGATTAATAAATCCTTTAATATAAATAACATAATTATTTTTTTATCACATTATTTTGTAATTAAATGATAATAAATATACAAATACAAAAGAGTATACCGAGGCCCATCACATTACATACGGACCAGAGCAAAAGTGGTAAAACCAATGTTATAGAAACTAGTTCCACCCGGCCGGATCAACCCGGAAATTAGTGAACCAGTTATGTAATTGGTCCGATTTTTATATTGGACCGGTCATATTATAGAACTTGTGTGACCCAGTACGATCCAGCCAATTTTTATAAAAATCGATGATGCGACCCGGTTTATAAAAAAAGAACTAGTTTATTCTCAATTGATGTCTTTCTTTTTTTTCGCTCTCACATACAAGTAGTTTGTTTTCTTTTGAAATATCTGAGTGATCTATAACTTATTAACTTTCATAAATTATGTACCTACAATATTAATATTATCTTGGTTATAAAATATGTAAGGATTTTTTATTTGATTTATAGTTAGAGATTTCGTCTACTGCACCTGAAACACCAATATCACAAGTATTATATGTTTGAATTGATTTTTTTTTATATAAATGGAGGGCCAAGCCCAGAAAAACTACAAAGACAACTGATGCATGCTAATAGACGCATGCTCCATCAGCAAATTCAAACAAAAATGGTTCCAAATGGGCTCTATGCTAATAGGGGAGAGGAAAACATCCTCAACTCTCCACCCTTGCAGCTCAAACCAATCTTAGCTAAACTATTAGCAACATCATTAAGATCTCTAGGAGTATAATCCACTTGGACCTGATAAAAAAAAGCAGCAGTATTTTTTTTCCTTTCAATTAAACTAGACAAACCACAAGACCCAGGTTCAGCTTCTAGACAAAGAATGGCCTCCTTACTGTCACAACCAATCCAAACCTTGGATAGCTCTAAAGTACCAGCAAGCTTGAGACCATGAAGGATACCCCTTAATTCAGCTTCCAAGGGAGAACAAGGACCTATATTGTAAGAGAATCCATTCATCCAAGCACCATTCGAGGAACAAGCAAAACCCCCACAAGCTCCTATATAGGTTGATTGGTTAACAGCACCATCAACAAAAATATTTACATCATTATACCCTACCCCTCGATCAGCCCCACCAGTTGAAAAGGAAGATTCAGGGACTGATGAAAACGGATCAGCAATGCCATTCCTCTTCATACCTGCCAGATAACACAAAATCCTATGGATTGGATCATGAGGTCTATTAAAAGAATCATCATGTACAGTAGAATTCCTCCATTGCCATAAGTACCTGCATGTCACAAAGAAAATTTCCTTCCACGGTTTCCAGAGAT